AATAGAAAAAACCCTCAAAAAAAAAAAAAAAAAAAAACAATGTTCTGAGCCACTCTGTAGTTTGGTGGTTAAGGCAGCTGGATCCCACATGTCCAGCTGCATGGGTGATGTCCTAAACCTTGTGACCTAAGAAACATACTGGGCACATGCGCATGAGTGACCAAAGTCCTGACAGGAGGAAGAGAGGGAGAAGGGATTGCAAGATGTTCATTCCTCATGGAGGTGTTGCCATCCCCTCTTTCTCCCTGTCTCTGGCCAGGGCATGCACCTTCCAGGAAAAAAACAAACAAAAACAATGATCTAATTAAACCAATTGCCCAAGCCAATCTATAATCTCAGACCTGGGCCTACCTATAAAATAAGCAAGGATCTTTGAGCAGTCCTGGCTATATTCAACCCAGGGAGCATGGAGGCAAATGTCCACTGGGAAATAGTCAACTTTGCTTAGGAAGAAGTTGCCCGGGTATTTCACAGATACGGGAAATACATGTAGTAATGATCTAATTAGACCAATTGCCCAAGCCAATCTATAATCTCAGACCTGGGCCTACCTATAAAATAAGCAAGGATCTTTGAGCAGTCCTGGCTATATTCAACCCAGGGAGCATGGAGGCAAATGTCCACTGGGAAATAGTCAACTTTGCTTAGGAAGAAGTTGCCCGGGTATTTCACAGATACGGGAAATACATGTAGTTCTCTATCTGAAGATTTTACATTAGTTTCTAAAAAAAAGTTCCCATTCTTTTTTAAAAATGCAACTTGATTTTTTAAGCATGGATAAAGTCAATAAGTACTAAGTTCTTTCTTTTTTTTTTTTTTTCCTTTTTAAATGGAAAAGTGAGATTCAGTAATTGATTTTGACTTGGAGTAAGTGCCTCAGAAATGTGTCAGGTTCTCTGATTGAGGTTATATATTTTTTTCATTTTAATTAAAGTTTTACTGCTGGGGAACAGCAGGTGGCATGATGATTAAGGCGCTGGACACTCCCACATGGCCAACCACGGTTCAAGTCCTGAATCTGGTGGCTCGCTTTCTCACTTCCTCTCTCTCTCTCTCTCTTTCTCTGCCTCTCTCTGTCCAAATAAAATAAATAAACGAATAAATAAAATTAAATAATTCTTTGAAAAAAAGTTTTATTGCAAATTATAAGCCAAAAAAGGCCTTGAATTTATTTATAGGTATGGAAGTTGGTTCATAAACACAATTATATGGAATGTGAATGTTTTAAAGCCTAGGACACATGGGCCTATGAGGACTGTCTTTTATTTCTGGTAGTCATCCACAAACACATCAGCAATACTAGTGCTTCACACATACAATAATGAGTCTGTCTTTTTCTAATCTGCTTTGGCTTTGATGAAGTTAGCTGCTGTTTTCCTGTAGCTCAGGATGCAGGGCTTCACATGTCTAGTCTTGGCTAATAAATGAAAAGTACTCCTAGCCTTGTGGTTCTCCATCCCAAGGCGTGTATTAACTCAGGAAAGGAAAAGACTTTGGAGTACTTCACGAATTTGCATGTCCTCCTTGCACAGAACACATGCTAAAAGTCTCTGTATCTTTCTAATTTTAGTATGTGTGCCACTGTGGTGGTTTTCTCTTCACAGGTAAGACATGTTGAGATACAGAACTGGATGATCTTTACTGGCAGGTCTGGCCAGGTCTTCACTTCTCCCTCCTATATATGTATTTTTTTGATAGGGTGTGAGCATGCATGCATGCAGGTGTGTGAGAGAGTGAACAAAACAGAGCTCTCTTTTATGATTTTTATCTTTTACTTCCTTTGAAAGAAATTTAGCTCCCTTTCAATCTCTGACCTATTTCAGGGCCTATTGGGTAGATATTAGTTGTGTCCATAAGCTGAAGAAAGTTGCATCAGTTGTGACAACAGTTGAGATGGATGATAGGTCATAGATATCTCTCTGTCCCTCAGTAGCCAACAATCTTCTTTAAAGGCTGTTAGCACCTATTTCCTGCTCATGGTATCATTGACATCTGCCAGAAATTGTCTTTGCTGGTGTGAAAATTTTGAGTACATTGAGTTGCCGAGTGGATATTACAATTCTTAGAAAGGAGCCAAGTAATTGAAAACTCAGAACTTTCACTCTGCGTGGTTGGGTAGTCATCCTTTCAAAGAACAGTGTTCTCAGACCAGCCATAGCAGTGTTAAGACACTGTGTTCTGCAGGCTATGGGAAGTCTGGTTTTGTTTTTTGGTCCAACCAGAAGACTTTGGCATGTGGTGTGTACTTGTAATCCCAGCAGCTCCCAGAAAATAGGACAGGGGGATCCAGAGCTTGGACTGGCCTGGGCAACATAGTAGACCCTGTCTAAGAGCCAGGCATGGTGGCAGTGCTGGTAACCCCGGTGTGGAAGCCAGGGAATTGTGAAATGGTGAAACATTTGTTTGTTTGTTTAAAGAAAGTTTTGCCATAGGGAGCATGTGCTTGCTGGAGAGACAGAGAGACAGGAAGTGAAAAATCACTCACACAGGAGGATAGCCGCACTGCAATCCTTTCTCCTCCATTCTCCTCTTAGTATTTTGGACATGCACACATACTCTTGGCTTGCCATTATACTTTTTGTTGGTCCCTTTTTTTTTTTTTTTTTTTTAAGAGAACAAAAAAGTATTCTCATCTCCTTCCCTAACATAGGGAAATCTAAATGCTCCCTCTGAAGTTTCAATGAATTCCATCTGCTTCCTGCCACAATGCCAAATTTGTAGGGGCAAAAGGAATTCCCCCCACCCCCGCACCTGAAGGTTTGAGTTTTTAACTTTGTTGAAATGAGCTGAATGTAGACAGAATAACAGGACAAAAAGCATACACCTTCATTAATATGCACATGGGCATGGAAACTGCAAAATATGAGGCTTTAAGGTCTGGATGGCTGAATCTTGAATGCTTTCTTTATAGGAGAAAGTGGGGAGTGCAGGCAATTTTAGGGGAAAAGAATCGGCTCAGAGAGCAGACAATAGCCTGACGTGGGGTTCCCCTGGGCTTTGGGCAAGATGGCAATAATTCAGGGAGGATGAGGAGCAGAACTGCACACAAACCAAGGTTGACCTGTTAAGCAGTCTCAGGTAACAGCCCTTACAGGGATAGGTGATTGAGCAGATGAAAAGTGATATTCAGAGCATGAAGACTTTTAGTTTCCTCTCCATTGATGAGTTAATGTTCTCTGGTTAATATAAATTCTAGAGTGGGAATCTGAGATAACTGCATTCCTTTTGGACAAACTTCCCATAGCCCATAAGGGAACTACAGAGAGAGCCCCTCCTAGTACTTAGGGAGGAAAGCAAGGGAAGGTCAAGGAAATTTTGGTTCTGAGGCAGCTTCTAAGCCTTCTAATGGCCTCTAGTTCAGAGCACCCAGGCCAAAGTGCCAAAGTTGGAGTATCATTTTTCTAGACCCAGTTACCACCAACCATTTATCTGAGAAGCAAGATATTAGAAAGCAAGAATTGATTGGTAGAGCTGAGAAAATGTAATTGGGCTAACAAAAACAAACCCAAAATTTTACATTATTATCTCTTTCAAGTTATTTATTTAAATAATTTTAGTAGCAAATGTGGATAGTGTTTCAAGACTTTTATTTTTCTTATTCTTTTTCTTAACAGATTTAAAGTGGAACAAAAATTAGACTTCAAAGAAGCTTTATATTCTTTGAACGTAACTGAGATATTTAGTGGTGGCTGTGACCTTTCTGGAATAACAGGTAATATGATAAATAATTCTTATGTTATGTTAATTTGTTTCCTTAGTGCTTTATTAACTGGCTGATCTGAAAATTGAAAGAGCATTTGGCCCCAGTAAACATATTCATGGTGAATAAATGTCATATTCATATTGAATTGTCTGTAAACAAGTACTGTATTTTGAATTTAAGTAGTTTTCTGTAATGAAAGTAAAAAAGCATTTCCGAATGTGAGATAAGCATTCTAACCATACTTCTCATAGAGCTATGTGGTAAAAGTATTACATGTGCTTTCATTTCTTCCCTGCTTGCATCTCCTTATCCAAATAATGGGAATTATGACTTTGAGTCTCCCATCCAACCAGAGCTAATGAAATCCTTATAAACCGATCTGCTCATGTTAATTCAGTAATATCACAGCCCATGAAACAAGCCTCCACAAGCTGCTGGGTGAAGAGAACAATCAAGAAATGATCATGCTTCCCTTTGGAGATTTAGCAGCAGAATCTCTGGATGAATTGGAGATGGCACTGTTATGATTACTTGCACCTGGGGAATTGTGCTCGGGTAGGACGGATGGTCACTGCTTGCATGGCATAGCCAGGCTTCTAACTCTTCTGGTTCTGGCAGTGCTCACGAGTTCAAAAATAACTAACAAAGAGAAAAGAAAGGAATGAAGAGGGCCAATTTGTCCCAAATCACTTACGCTCTTTTAAATTAAGTCTAGGGACCAGCAGATGGTATAATAATTACATCACTGGACTCCCACGTAGTCTACCATGGTTCAAGTCCCAGACCCAGTGACTTAAAACTCAGGCCGGGTGTGTATGTGTGCATGCGTGTGTGTGTGTGTGTGTGTGTGCCAAAAATCCCCAGAGGAGAATAGAGGAGAAGATATGGAAGCATGGCTATCCTCCCTGGGGAGTGATTTCTCACTTTCTACCTCTCTGTCTCTCTGGTGAACACATTGCCCCATTGCAAAAATCTCTCTAAAAAAGTTACATAAATAAAAAATAAATTCAGTGTAATGATTATAAAGAGAGGTCTAATGACATAAATTTATCTTTCCGAGCTTTTGTATCATAACGTGAAATATCCCAGGGATGTTTATGTATTCTTATATACATATCTCAGTTTGGGACATGTATTTGTTAGTTTATTCACTCATCCCCTGTGTGAGTAAATGAATAGAATAAACGAGCTCTCCTGGTGGAGGAGATGAGTGGGATGCACAGGTATCACGGATGTTTATTATCACCTTCGTACATGATGTAGCTACTTGCTCCCACTCTGACAGATAGACCTGACTTCTTTGACAATTTCATTTGCACCAGGTAGGACACAGTCAACATTAAATACTGCAACAGGACAGTATTGATATATAAGTGTGTCCTGGAACACAGCTATCTCATCAGCCTACTGTAAGCCAGGTCACTTTTCAAGTACTTCCTCTTAAAATTCTTTCTGGTGTTAGGAAACTCACCCAATATGCCTTAGATATTTTGAACCACCATTCACTCTGCAAATTCCTAGCAATGTTTGACTTCCAGAAAATATCTTTTCAGTAGCAGATTTTTCAAGAAAATACCTTCAAAATGTTTCATAGAAGAATTAGTGCAATAGAATAATCTGAAGCAGAGAAAACAAATGCTTAGCATTTTCTGCTTCATTGTTTTTCTTTCTGAGTTAGCTTTTAAGTTTTTGTTTTTTTTAAACCATATTAGTTCTATCTTATTGGCTGGTATAGACCAGTCATAGCCAATGCTGACTCTATAACTGATGGTTGAGAGCACAGTGAATTCCTCGTTGTCTGTCCTTACCATTTTCACAATAAACACTCACTAACGGCTACTATGAACCAGCCCAATACCAGTGCTATGAGACATCTCCATGATAGAGACACTGCCTTATACTCATGTTGTTTATAAGTTTCAAATAAATAATTTTTACAGAGTTGCTTTGGAAACATTGAGATGAAGATTGACATCTCACTCTTACTACTTCTTGTATCACTTGTAGTAAAATAATTTTCTGAGCTTCAATGTCTTAATCTTCTGGACATAGTATAGTTAGTAACTTTTAGAGAAATAAGTAAAATAATATAGGTAAATCACCTAGTTTAACATCTTCATAGTAGACATTTGCTAAATATTAAATACAAGAAAGCAAGTGGAAAAAGTGGCCTATTATTCTTTCTTTACACAGTTTCTAGTGAAGTGACAGGATTTTCTCATCTTTTAACTTAACAGAAATATACTTGGAATTTTCATAGAAAAGTAAGGGAAAGAATTACTATAGAAGTGAAGAAACCAGTACATAGTGTCCAGATTCCTTGTGTTAACCTATCATTTCTCAGGTCCTGTTCTTTTCCTAACACCAGCCCTGGTCCTGTCTGCAGTGAGAGGGAGTACGCCAGGTCAGTGGCTCTGTCTAGTTCCAGGGAGTCATTTTGTCTGGTACCATTGCCAAACAGGGTGAAATTCCCCAACTCTCCTGGTCTTTGCACTTGGTGTGGGCCTCTGGGTCATTTACTCTGGTTTTCATGTGTGAATCCTGTCCTATTTCCAGCAGTTCTGGGAGAAGGCATCACGTAACTTGCCTGAAGGTGCGAGGCCATTCTCTGGCGTTTCAGTGACTTCACACTGACGGTGTAAATGCCCCCTCCTTTCTCCACTTTACAGGTTTCTAGCATGAGACATATTATAATTTATTTATTCAAAAATTTATTCATTATAAGCTAAATATGAGCCAGGCGATTTTCTAGAACGTGTTTCTATTGTCCCTCTTGAGAACAATGTCAGATCTCTCTGAGTGTGCAAAACTGACTTCATATATCTTCTGAACTCATGGCGTCACTTCCCCCTTCTCAAGGAGGCTATTCTTATACCAGGAATACTTCATATATACATCGCTTTCACCAATCAGCTTGTAGCCGACTGGGATGAAATGTTGGAAGACATTATCTTACACTGAAAAAGTTAACAGGTTTTAAAACATAGCTCTGAAGTGATTTTGTAACAGATGATACAAAACCTCTTCAGACTTTCATCCATCTTAAGGGAAAGCTTCAAACTCAGAGCAAAACTAAATACAGAATTTAGAAGGCAAGCTGGCTTTGAGATGGACTACCTAGTAAGAGTGAAACATAAACCGCCTCTATTTCTAGCAAATTGACAAAGCAAGAAAGAATTTCTTTCTTTCTTTCTTTCTTTCTTTCTTTCTTTCTTTCTTTCTTTCTTTCTTTCTTTCTTTCTTTCTTTCTTTCCTTCCTTCCTTCCTTCCTTCTTTCTGTTGTTCATTTGGAAATCTGGGTAATGACTCTTGATTTTAAGCCTTCAATACACTTCCTTATTTTCCCCCAGATTCGTCTGAGGTCTATGTCTCCCAAGTTGTGCAACAAGTTTTCTTTGAGGTAAATGAAGATGGCAGTGAAGCTGCAACATCAACCGGTAGGACAAATGATTTCTCAACAAGCTAGGAGAGGAGACGGGTGGGTGCTGTTGGCCTTTTGGCAATACTCTGACCTTTTTCTCATCCACTGTTTGGTACACAATGAGAAGAAAAAAAGAAATGTTTTCTAAGCTATTCATGCATGGCTTCAGTCACAGCACAATGTGAAAAGGAAGGGAAAGGATTTGATCCAGAACTGAGACTCATATACTGGTACTTGGATTACCTGCCAATTAGCATAGAGGGCCTGTGGATAAAAACTTAAGACTTAAATATAAAATAATTACTATTTTGAAATGCTCACTCTTAAGTAACTGTATTTAATTTCATCCGTCGGTTACACCAAGTTAGTCTTCACTTTTCCAATTTGATTCTTGTTATCTCTGTGGCTGTGTCTCTAAAACTTAGCTGTACATTAACATCACATTAAAATTGGCTTTGAAAAAGTTAGGTCAGCTGGTGGCATAGTGGTTAAGGAAGCTGAATCCAACATGGCTGACTGAGCAGTTTGAGTCTTGGAATTGGTGGCTTAAAAAACACACTAGGACAAGTATGTGCATGCCCAAAATCCTGAGAGGAGAATGGAAGAGAAAGGATTGTGGTGTGACCATTTCCCGGGTGGTGATTTCTCACTTTCCCTGTGCCTCTCTGACGAACACACATACCCAATAGCCAAAACAAACAAACCCAAATCCTTTGCCTAGTTCATGCCCCTAAGTAATTAAGTCAGTAGATGCAGAGGTGAGCTCCAGACTCCAATATTTTTAAGCTTTTGCAAGCAATTTCACTGAGCATCGGGCATGAGAACCAGTGCTCTATAGTGGCTGGCAGCCTGTGCTACTACAAATGTAAAGTGTGGGCCTGTAACAAAAACAGCACTTGAGAATTTGTTAGAAATGTGGCATCTCAGGCCCAACTCCATTTCTCCTGTATCGGAATCGGCATTTTCTAAAATCACTAGGTGATTTGTGTGTACATTCCACTCCTCTATGTTTCATTTCCTTGAAAAATGATATTTTGAATAGTATCTACACTACATTTGAACAACACTTGAAAAGTAAAGAAAAGCCTTAAATTATTTAGAAATAAAAATTGCAATGAATCCCTCTTAAGACTATTTTATTTCCTCACGCTATGTATTTTAATCAATATTTGAAAAATATGAATAATTTAAAATGTCTTATGAATGAATATCTACAAATTTAGCCCATTTTTCAATTTATTTATTATTTTTTTCATTTAACTTTATTCATATGTTTATTTCAATTTGACTAGAAAGGGAGGGAGGGTGAGAGAAAGAGGCAGAGAAAAAGTGAGAAAGCAAGCTGCCAGGTCCGGGACTTGAACCATGGTCAGCCATGTGGGAATCCAGCGCCTTTAACTACCATGCCACCTGCCGGCCAAATTTTTCAATTTCTTGAATAATTTGTAATGTTACACAATGCTAATGGATTTTGACGTCTAGGTGGGACACACTGGACTTCCATTACAATTTTGTCATCTTCTGAAGGACTCTGTATTGTCATGGCGAAGAATAAAGATTGTAAGAAATGGGTTATATCAACCCATGGAGAAGAAACCAAAAGGCTACATGGGAATGAGTTTGTTAGCTCATGCAGATGCATTTTTCCAACTGCGTTTACACAGAACTGGAAGAGTCCTTATAGAGCATTGTCTTGTCTTCTCATTATGTTGGTGAAGGAATAAGCCCAGCCACGCAGTGTTTTTCAAGGCTTGCTTGAGCTTGAACTACTAACTCACAGCAAAATTTGAGCCACACTCAGGTTCTCTGACTTCAAGTTCAGGCTTCTTTCTGCTATTGCCACTACTTCTCATTGTAAGCTTGGAATGCTCTAGGAGGAGATAACAATCACTAAAGGAATGTATGATGCCTTTTTTTTTTTTTTTTGAGAAATTTTTGCTATAGTGCACATGCACTCACCAGAAAGACAGAGAGAGACAGACAGAGAGATAGAAAGAGATAAATAACCCCCCAAGGGGGATGGCCATGCTGCAATCCCTTCTCCTCCATTCCTCTCTCGGGATTTTGAGTATGCATGCGCACATTCCTGGTGTGAGTTTAAGTCACCGGGTCTGGGACTCAAACCATGGTCAACTGTGTGGGAGTCCAGCAACATAGCCATTATGGCAACAGCTGGTCCCAGATGCATTTTGACTTTCAGTTATCTGCTCAAGGGTTGCTCAAGAGCAAAATAGTCCAACTACTGACTGCCAATGGGAATGGGAATAAATCTGCCTTTGCTTTTTCTGACTTACATCAGTATTTCAGATGTGAGCCCATATTCATTAGTAATTTGGGCAGCATAGTACTAACAGTCTGGATAGGAGATTGTCATTCATAACCTGTTTCTAGGTTATACTTAACTTTTTTCTCAATACATATGGATTTTACGTTTTTTATTTTTAAAAACTGCATAAAATCATTGCAAAATTGGTAAAGAAAACATCTGAATTGAGTACAGAAATATTAATCTAGAAAGAAAAATCCAATCATTTAAAATTTCCCACTACTATATATTGACAAAGGCCATAACAGAACATTATATAAATTACATAATAACTAATTTTTACAACAGCAAATATGTTTCCAGTTTCATAAGAATAGGCCCACAGAAATTGACTGTATAAATCCCCAAAATCCCAAGTTCACAATATAATTTTTGAGAAGGAAATAAAATATAAATAAATTTGTGCCAGCAAGTGCCATGGAGGTTTATGAGGCTGGATCCCACATGGCTGACTGAGTTGTTAGAGTTCCGGACACCACAACTTGGCATGGTGGTTAAGGCGCTGGACATTTCTACATGGCTGACCACCATTTGAGTCTCGAACCTATGGCTTGCTTTCTCATTTTCTTTCTCTCTGTGTGCCTGTCTTTCTCTGGTCAAATGAAAATGACTGAATGATTAAATAAAATTAAAAAATTATTTTTTTAAAAAAAAAGAAAAGAAAAACAGTCTGAGAATATGTGCATGCATGCCTGTCTAAAATTTTAAGAGAATGGAGAAGGGATTACATCACTTGAGCAGTGATATCTTACTTTCCCTCCCTCTCTGTCTTCCTCTGTCTCTTTCTGGTGAACTCACATGCCCTATAGCAAAAAATATATAAATAAACTTGAGCTCTGATGATACTGTAAGCCCAAAGTACAGACATGAAGTGCAAACATACCTGGGTAGGAATTAAGAATTGAAATCATTCTAAGAATTGCAGTGCCCCAGTTGCAAAATTCTGAGAAGACCACAAGGAGCCGATTCCAGTGTAATACACAAGGGTTGCTTTCATTCGGGCTTGAGCCAGGGCCCTCAACCGTCACTGACACAGCGGATCAGAGTTGTGAGCCTCGGTGCTTGTTGGGCTGGGTTTTTATTTGGCTATTAAGGGTGGTGGGTGGTGTGTCCAGGAATGCAGAGGAATGCACTCAGGCGGCTATACATTGGCTGTAGATTTCAAGAAGCAAGTTGTCTTTTACTGATTGGTCTTCAGACCATTAAGTTGGGCAAGAAAGTTACTTCAGGTCTCTGGTATTTCTTTTGTTCTTCTCATTATGACCCTCTCCTCTGTGATCGGCTCGCCTCCTTGAGATGGTGCCAATTCTCAGCAAGGTGGGTTTAACAAAATGGAGTCGTCGTCCCCCCCCGCCCCCCCCCCAAAGAAATAGAGTCACTCTGGTCCTTCAAGAATAAATTATATAATGTAAATAAAAAGTGAACAGAAAATTGCTGTTTAAGAGATAACATTTTTCAACTGCTTTCACTAAATTGAAGGTAGTATCAGGCTTTCTTCTTCACTGACTGTAAATGTGACATTAGAATTATTCCATCAATAATCTAATATTTATTCTTCCACACTTTGTTTTTTAAAATTATGGCAATTTTTTTCTGCGCTGAAAAAATGGGGTTATTTTTCCACATGCTAACTCCTTATACAAAATGTTTTTTCCTATCTACAAAAAGTATTGTGAGTATGTTTTATTTTTGTGTCACTGTGAATATCGAAGTAATTGTTGTCTCTATTTCTTAGGTATACACGTCCCTATGATCATGAGTCTGGCTCGAAACCAGTTTATAGCAAATCATCCATTTCTGTTCATTATGAAGAATAATCCAACAGGTACTTTTTTCAGAATTCCATGGAGAAACTACTTATATTCAGCAGAACTAGTTTCAGGTTCTAATTGAATCTACATTCAAATCATTGGTTCTTTCAATGAATGTTTGTTAAGTGACTCTTACATGCCAGCATTGTATTTAAAGAAATTACAGAGGCCAACAATAGGGCAGTGGTATTAATAGCAGCCACCATAGTTGTCGCATGTGGGAGCCATTTAATACACCTATCACTAAAGCTAATAGCAGTCTAGTAGTTTAAATATTTGACTAATGAAATCGTAGACACTCAGAGAGAGATTAGGTAGTTTGGCTTAAGTCATTCAACTGGAAAGTGGAAGAGCG